AAGGGGCGTCCACATGTTTGGGATTGATGAGAACTGTTCTATTAGCCATTACAGTTTGTTTCAGGTACTTATATACTCAGAGAAGTGTCTAGATTAGGCCAAAATATTCAGATAAAAAGTGAAAAATGTAATTGCTTATATTATGTCAAACATTGGAACATTTTGGAAAAATCTAGAAGACTGTTTTTATATAGACAATTTGGCAACACTTAAATGCAAAAAACAATCCCTGGTGGAAATTTTATTTTTCAATTTTTTATTCACAGAATTGGGTTACCAGCGAAAGCGGAATATTATAGAATTTTGTACTATAGTATTTATAATGCAACTCCCACATTTAAAATATAAGTATATAAATAAAATAAAAGGATAAGATTCACTCTGAAACAAACTCTTAAAGGTAATTGCACAAAGAATTTCAAAGGTTTTCCTGAACAACAAAATGTGCTCAAAGGTGCAGCATTACAATCAAACAGTCACCAAATGCTAGTCAGAGAATTTCTGAAGTTTTAGCCTCAAGTCAAAAATCTTTTAGTGACAGCCCTAGCCAGTTTGGCTCAGTGTATAGAGCGTCGGCCTGCAGACGGGAGGGCCCTGGGTTCGATTCTGGTCAAGGGCACATGCCCGGGTTGTGGGCTCGATCCCCAGGAGGGGGTGTGCAGGAGGCAGCCCATCAATGATTCTCTCTCATCATTGATGTTTCAATCTCTCTCTCCCTCTTCCTTCCTCTCTGAAATCAATAAAAAAAATATATTTTTTAAAAAGAGAAAAACCTCTTTTAGTGACAGAAAGTTTTAAAATACTTAGGTACAGTTGTGATTGTGGTTTAAAACACACTCCTGTTAAGTACATCTCTAAAGGAAATGATCTTGTAAGCATTTTACAAATCATGGCTTGTCCATCCTGCTCTCTCAGGGGTTTGTCATCCCTCCCCGCATGCTACTGGGGTGCTCTCGCGAACATCTGGAGAGAGGGGGCCACTGGGACCAGTTGGGTAACACCAAGCTACAACTTAGCCTTTATGTCAGATGCTACCAATTCATGGATGACAGGCCAGGGTGAGATGAGCACACCTTTCCTGTCCAGCACCAGACTTCCAGCCAAGAATTCAAATGACAGCCACGGCAAGAAGGCCAGAAACAAGGCTCCCGGCAACTCTGGTTACAAAACGATGTACAAAACCCCTGCATGAAAGCTCGGGGTCTTCACCTGCAGGTCATACCACAGGCAGATAACAGCTGTCGTTTAGAGTCTGTTGACTCAGCCTGCGTACAGTTCTAACACCTGTGAATGTCTGTAAGCTCTCACAGCGGACTGGAAGGAATGGCTTAGAGAGGGACTCAAATTTTGCTTCTCATACTCTGTTTTATTATTTTATTTATTTTTTATTCTTTATTGTTGAAAGTCTCATCTATGTCCCCCTTTTCCCCCATTGTCCTCTCCCAGCCTGCCCCTGCCCCTGCTCCCCAGGAGAGCATTATGCTAAGCGAAATAAGCCAGTCAGAGAAGATAACTATCACATGATCTCACTCATATGTGGAATCTAATGACCAACATAAACTGATGAACAAAAATAGATCCAGAGACATAAACGCCTCGAACAGACCATCAGCCGCTGTTTTAGAAAGGCCTGGGGAAGTATACCATTTAGAAAGATTCATACCCAAAGCAATGAAAAGAAAACATCTCAGACCAGTGGTCGGCGTGGTCAGCAAACTGCGGCTCACGAGCCACATTCAGCTCTTTGGCCCCTTGAGTGTGGCTCTTCCACAAAATACCGACTTCTGCCCATGGGCCACGAAGTTTCAATCGCACTGTATGTGCGCGCCCGCACGTGGTATTTTGTGGAAGAGCCACACTCAAGGGGCCAAAGAGCTGAATGTGGCTCGTGAGCCGCAGTTTGCTGACCACTGTTTAGACACTTGAAGTAAACCTCAAACTACCTGGAAACTGCAATTATTCAAAATGTGCTGGGGATAGCTGAGGTTTTCTGGGGAGGTTTAGTTCATTTCGGCATCTGAATTCGATGGGAGCCTTTTATTTCATTCGGGTAGATGACACTATCTGAGGCCAAGGCCTTCGTTCAGTCTAAGCTTCTGGGAACAAAATGTAATGCCTGCATATGAATAGCCATGGACTAGCCCCGTGACAGCAGCTAGCTTTATTGTGCGCCCACCGTGCCTCGGCCTTTACTTTGATTCTGACTAATCCTTGCGACAACCTCCGAGGGAAGGAGTTATATTTTATAGATATGAAACTGAGGGTTTGTGGTAAAGGACATTGCCAACATTTACTTAGGGTTCCAAGATAGGCCATCCTGGCGCTAAAGCCGGCATTCTTCCCGTGGCTGTCCTTCCCTTCCAGCTGATGAGAGCAGGTTTCCAAATCCCGGGTGGGGCTCCAGGATTAGCTCCCAGATAAGGAGGATTGTTCTCGAGGTTGCTTTGGTTCTGGTTAGATCAAGCAGCCACAAGGACAAAGACTGAGTCCTCTCTTAAGCCTTTTACTGGTCTCAACCTCCCAGCATCCATCTCTCAAACATCTGCCTCTAAGATAAAGAACCCTGGATTCTCATGGAGCTGGCTCAGCGCGTAGTTCATCTCCACCCCTGAAACCAGAGTGGGAGGGTGTGTGTGTGGCGGGGGGGTGAGGGTCTCACGTGAGGAAGATGTTTTATTTTAGGGAAGAGGACACAACAAAATGCGACTTGCCTTTTGCCAGGAAGGACACTCTTTCTCTACTGGCTGGATTTGCATCTTATTCCTAAGGCAAGACGTGACTTTCCCACCAAAATGTCTTTACTTTCTGAGAGACTTGGCACCAGGGGCAATGATCAGGTGACCAGCGGAAGTGGTGGGCGCATGTTAAACCTCTGCTCACGAATGACTGCTGGCCACGGCGGGTGGTAGGGACAAATAAACGGAAAGGAAGAGGGACGGTGTTGCAAGGTGTGTTTCCCGTGCAAACAGCCCAGCTTGGGATACAAAGTCCACAGCACGTACCTCCTCCCACGTCTAAAACAGGACCTCCATGGGACATCCTGAGGGCTCTCCCTGCTGGCACCAGGGTGCTGAGTTCCTGACGCTGTCGTCTGGGAGCCTCACATGTAGGTTAAGTGGCTGTTCTATGACATCATGTGATTTGGGGGACATAGGAGAGACTCCTCCTCATGCTACCTCACCCAGAGTCCTGCCAAATTGGCTCTTTAAGGTGCCTGAAATTTCACAGTTCGTGCTTCATTGTTTTCCCTCAAACCAAAGAGTATGTGCTCACGCACATGTCCCCAGGGAGGGTAGTTCATTGACCTGTTAGCAGTCACGTATCCCTTAGTAGAAATGAGTTAATTGTCATCTAAATGTTAAGTTATTTGGACACATTTAAAAAATTTTAATTGAGATATTGACATAATTTGAACAAATTTTGATTGAATAATCACCTTTACCATCATAGCTAATATTTATCAAGTGTTTATTATATGCTAGGTGTTGTGCTAAGATTTCATGACAACAAACCTATATGAAGTCATGCCCTGGCCAGTGTGCTCAGTGGTTAGAGTGTCAGCCTGCACACCAAAGGGTCGTGGGTTTGATTCCTGGTCAAGGGCATGTACCTGGGTTGCGGGTTCCCTCCCACCCCCAGTCGGGGCATGTGTAAGAGGCAACCGATGGATGGGTGTCTCTTTCTCTCTTTCTCTTTCCTCCCTTTCACTCTCTCTGAAGAAGCAATGGGAAAATATCCCTGAGTGAGGATTAACAACAACAAAAAAAGAAATCTTGATTATTATTCCCATTTTACAGATGAGAAAGATGAGGCACAAAGAAGTTACGTAACTTTCCCAAAATCACTCAGTTAGTGTCTGAGGCAGTCTAGCTTCAGACCCTGCCCTATGAACCACTCTCCTGCTCAATTACTTTCTTTAAACGTATGGTGGTTGGAACATATGGGAGAAAGAAGATTTGTGAATCGAGAAAGGTCTAAAGTTATAATTGCATTATGATACTAACATCTATTACAATATGGACACAATTTCTTATATCAGTTCCTAGCAGAACTCTATTCTGCTTATTGTGGTCTGAACACAAGCATAATGGAAATAATCAGAACAATATCAACAACAGGTGATATTCACTTTTATCTCCATCATCCTCATGATCTTCACTGTCACTGTCACTGTCATCATCATCATCGTTGACATCCTTTACTGAGCGTTTACCAGGTTCTCGGAACCATGTTTATTTTGTACAATACCTAAACGATCCCATCTAATCCTCAAAGCAATCTTAGGAGAGGGTATAACCATTCCCACTTCCAGATGAGAAAACTGAGGTTCAGGGATGCTAAGATCATTTAGCCAGAAACATACAGTGGAATTTGAACCTAAGTCAGCCTTCAAAGCTTATGTTCTCAACTACTTCACTATGTCCAAAAGTTTAACGCTACTTAAGTGTCATCTGTGTGCCAGGCTAGTCCTATGTCACTATTTCAAATGATGGCTCGTGGGCCAAATCCAGCCAGCTCCCTTTTCTTGTAAATAAAGTTTTATTGAGGTGCGGCCATGTTCATTCACTTACATACAGATAGTGCCTTTGGCTGCTTTTGTGCTGAAAGGGAGAGTTGAGTGGTTGCAGCAGAGATTGCCTGGCCCACAAAGCCAAACATATTTGCTTTCTGCTCTCTACAGAGAAGTCTGCAGACCCGCCTTACACCGTCTTGCAATGTGCATGTGATCGCTCTCACTGTGCAGGTGAACGTACTGGAATTCAGAGAGAGCAGGCAATTGGCCCGCCCAACGAGTGAAGTACAAGAACCTACAAAGCACTGAGGCCCAGATGACTCCAGGATGCCTTCATTCCCCTGACGCTTACACAGCCATCATTTTCCTCTTCACCAGTTGAGGGGAGTTCTGTGACATGTGGTTAATAGAATGGTTTTCAGTGCTCGACACGGTGTTAAAGGGTTGTACGTTTTCTCCTGTCAGAGGGATAGGAAACTCCTCTTACCTTCTGAGGACTTACTGTACTTAATCCCTTGAGGATGGATGCTTAAGGGCTTGTCTGCGTTATTTTTAAAGTGAACTCTCATGATGTCTCCAACTTCAGCATATAAAGTAGGCCCAAGAAGTCCTAGGGAAGCAAAGATAACTATGTCAGGATTACAAAAGACAGAGCTGACACACGCACACACACGCACATGCACACACACACATACACACACACACCATGCAGAGAATCCCATGAGTGACTGCGGTCAGCCCTCAGGTTCTGAGGTTGACCTGCTTATCTTCCATCTGTAAGGCTTTACCGCCTCATAAGCTCAGCATTGTGTGCAGCCCGCGAAGGACAGGAAGGGAGAAACGCTTGGCTTGGCTCAAAGCAAGCCGAGGAGTAGGAGCGGTCGTTCTCACTGTGTCCCCCAATTCTGACCCACTGTCATTCCTTAGAGATGACCTACCGTCTTTGGCCAAGAAAAGAAAGATGTCCATTATTTATTTATTTACTTATTTTTAGAGAGAGTGGAAGGGAGGGGGGCAGACTGAGAGAAACATGGATGTGAGAGAAACACATCGATTGGTTGCCTCCTGACCTGGGCTGCAACTGAGGTACGTGCCCTTGACTGGAATCGAACCCAAGACCCTTCAGTTCATGGGCTGACCCTCTATTTAGGGAGCCAAACAGGCTAGGGCAGATGTTCATTTTCAACTGTCTAGGGTGACATGAGGGAGGGCGACAAGCTACTTTAGAGGGACAAAGTGAAGTGAGGGAGCAAATCACACAGTTCTTGGACAAGTTCAAAGTCTTGGAGGCAGGAGTGAGCTTGATGTTTTCAAAAAACAGTAAACAAACAAAGAAAACAAAACAAACAACCCAGCCTGGGCAGAGTGAGAAGAGACGGTGGGGGCAGGTCCCTTTAGGGCAGATGTTCATTTTCAACTGTCCAGGGTGACATAAGGGAGGGTAACAGGCTACTTTAGAGGGACAAAGTGAAGTGAGGGAGAAAATCACACAGTTCTCGGACAAGTTCAAAGTCTTGGAGGCAGGATTGAGCTTGATGTTTTCAAAAAACAGTAAACAAACAAACAAACAAAGAAAACAAAACAAACAACCCAGCCTGGGCAGAGTGAGAAGAGACGGTAGGGGCAGGGCCCTTAAAGCCCTACGGTCACAGCAAGGACCTTGGGTTTTCTTCTAAATGAAATGGGAAGTCGAGGCGGCTTTGTGCAGCAGGGAGGTGGGGTCTGATGCATTTTAAAAGTTCATCCTAAAAAAGAAAAAGAAAAAAAAACAGGCAAAAAGTTCACCCCTGCTGCTGTGTGGTGAAGAGAGTGGAAGCAGGACTTGGCGATAGAGATGAGGCAACAGCACATCGGGCCAGAGAAGTGGTGAGCAGAGGTTGGGCTCTGAATTCTGGAGGCAGAGCCACCAGCACTGCTGACGTGTTGGATGTGGCATGAGAGAGAGAGAAGCCAGGATGACCCGAGGCTTCTAATCGGAGCAACTGAGTTAATAATCAGCTACGTCGATGGAAACACAGCAGGACAGCGGGTCAGGTGCAGGAGCTAAGAGAGGTTTCCCTTCCTACACGCCAGGGGCTGTGCCAGGTCCTGTCCTCAAGGAGCCACAGCCCGTTGGAGATGGACACAGGTAGCAGCTGCTGCTGAGCTACGGGCAGAATGCTGCGGGCAGAGGCTGGAGGACCAGCCCTGCGTGGGGGGTGAGGGGACAGGACATCTGCTCCGAGTTTTGAGGAATCACAGTCTAGAGCTTCCCAAGGTGCAGTCCCCGGGCCTCCTGCAGGATCACCTGGGCCCAGGTTCCCAAGGACCAGCTTAGCCCCAGTGAACGGGTCTCTGCGGGTGGAGTCGGGGCCCTGCCTTTGAGTCTGTGCTCCTGCCTGACACCAATGTCCTCGACAGCTGGAGAACCCATCACCAGAGCCTTATGTCAACAGGTGGCAGGAATGGACTGCCCCCACTTCCAAGCCACCCACTAGGTCTCGTGGGGTTGGCTTCTGGCCTTTAGGCATCACGGGGGCAGCAGGCGTCAGCACCACGGAGCTCACCCGCACCCACTGGCAGCGGGGATGGTGCTGATCGCAGGGCTCCACCCACTGTCCCCGCAGGATAGTCACGCATGTACATCCTCACGTTAATCCTCCCGACACCTCTTTAAGGTAGTTGGTAAGATCCTCATTTTACAGGGCAGGAAACTGGGCCTCGGGCGTTCCTCCTACTTCTGCTTCCCTAGCTTGCCCCAATGAGCAGAGCTGTGGGCAAAGCAAAACCTGTCTGACTAGATCCTGAGCTTGTAACCACCTCCCATCTCTCATTCATTCATTCATTCATTCGTTTATTCAACAAATAGTAATTGAGCACCCACGTTTTCCTGGGTCAGACTTGCAATGCTGAGTAACATAGGTGCCCTCCCTGGCTTCACAGGGCTTACCACGGGAGCAGGGAGGGCGGCTTGCCCAGGGCCAGCCAGTGGTTCGGTGGCATTGCTGGGGCTGACATTCAGGTCTCTGGACTCCTGGACCAATGCTTTCTCTACCACCTTCCCCAGGGTGGGTACAGACCCCCTTTCCTGGAACGGTCTACACCAGTCTTGACTCCTGACCACTCTGACCCCGGCTGACCCCTCTCTTCTGGCTGCTACGCTCAGTCCTAGCTCCCTGCGAAGCTCCCGCTGGCTGCTCCCACCTGCCGGGATGCCCACGAGGCCCATGTGTGCAGACTCCGCTCACACTGTCCCTGCATTTCGTTGCCATGGTGGCCTTGCTTGGTTGATTTGCTTGTTGGCATCTCGTGGCTGCACATACCAGATGCCCAGAATAAGCCTTACAAATTGTTTAACCTAATGAGACCTCCAACGGCAGTGAATTTATTTAGCCTCCCTTCTGCTTCTTCAGAATTAGGGCAAAACAAAGGAATGTTTTCATCAAGGCAATTCAAACGCCTTCATGCGTGAAGGCAAACACATGGCCGAATGTTCCTGAGCTGCTGCTCAGCTCCCCTGTCGGCCAGATGCCCTGAAACCTTTCCCACCCCCCTCCCCAGGGCCCAAGTCAAGCTGGGGGCCCAGGAAGGTAGCACAGCCGGTGCCCAACTTCCTGCAGCTGGGGCCTTGGGAACGGCCACAGGGAGGTCAGCTGACCCACCCCCTGCTCTCAGGTGAAGAACGCATTATAGAAAACAGGTCGCCCATCGTTGCAGCTCTTTTAGAACCTTCAGGGACAAACATGTCATAATTTTCTTTGAAAAGGTGCAAAGACTCAAAACTAGCTGTTCAAAAGCATAAGACAGAATTCCTGAAAATGGCCCCAGTCCCTCCCTCCCCCTGTCCACTGGGCAGGCATCGGTCTTCAGACCTCCAGTCCTGCATCGGGGTCTGGGCTCCTGCTATGGAGTGGGGTGCATGGCGGTTCCCCTTCAGGCTCAGCTAGAATCACACCCACCTGACGAGTGGAAACAGGGAGAGGTACGAATGGCAGAACTAGGCTGGGAGGGGAAGGTCACGAGTCAAGGGCAGTGTTCAAACCCAGATCTCCTCATCAGTATCTGAGGCTTTCCCTGGACACCAGATTCGCCTCCTGTATCAACTACTACCAGGATCCAAAGATGAATAAGACGTCATCCCTGCCCTCCAGGGTTCATAGTTCAGCAACTTTGGGAGTTTAGGAAGAGGCTGCATAAAAATGGATGTTAAAATGCTCTGGCGTCCCGCAGCCACAGGGGCCTCTTCTGAGAGTCATTCTAGTGGGCTCCCTCAGAGCAGGTTAGAGAGGGAGCGCAGGGAGAGGAAGTGACACCACAAGGAATGAAGTGGGCCTTTCAGATTGATAGTGAAGGAGGGGGGAGAGAAAGGAGAGTGAAGCAGGGTGGAGGGGAGTTTTGTTCTAGATGAAAGTTAACCTGAACATAGCTGTCATTTGTTTTACTGCTAATGGGGAAGGCTCCCGTTCAGGAAAGAGGGGAGATCAAGGGAGATCAGAGGAGGTGGGGGCGAGTGGGATGATAGACAGGCAGAAGAGTGAGCCTGGGACACAGTGCCACTCAAGTTCAGTTAACTTGGCAAAAGCCACAAAAGAGAGGATTCTAAATACCCGCCCGATTTATTTTCTCCCCAGGCCTCATTAATGTTTCCTGGCTCACTTTCCCTTTACCCACCTATAATTTAATTTAATTAAAAAGTTCTTAGGTGTGTGCTAAGGTTGGAATTGAGTTATGAACATGAGTTGACTCCGCAGCAGAGGCTGGGAGAGCCTTGCCCTCCTGCCCAGGGCTACAAACTTAACTTGATGAGTAACCTTCCAGCCCTGGGGAAGGCAGTGTGTCTCCTACCGCAGCTGATCACACCCTGTTTCTTCTGAGCCTGACTCCGTCCCTCAGAGACTTTATCTGCTCCTTTTCTATTGGATTCTTCCTTGAGCCCTTAGATATTTTAAGTCACTGTGTTCTTTTTTATAAAATTCCAAAATATCCTCCAACCCCTTATTCCTTTTCAGAACCACCCTGTCGCTCCTCCCATGTGGGGCCAAGTTTCAGGAAGGCGTTATCTCTGAGTTCCCCCCAGGAAAGGAGATAGTTTCCAGAGGGGAGCATTAACTGTGCTAGGAATGTCAAGTCGGGAAAGACCTGGAAAGAAACCGTTGGCTCTGGCGTCCCGCAGCCACAGGGGCCTCTTCTGAGAGTCATTCTAGTGGGCTCCCTCAGAGCAGGTTAGAGAGGGAGCGCAGGGAGAGGAAGTGACACCACAGGGAATGAAGTGGGCCTTTCAGATGGCAATTGATAGTGAAGGAGGGGGGAGAGAAAGGAGAGTGAAGCAGGGTGGAGGGGAGTTTTGTTCTAGATGAAAGTTAACCTGAACATAGCTGTCGTTTGTTTTACTGCTAATGGGGAAGGCTCCCGTCCAGGAAAGAGGGGAGATCAAGGGAGATCAGAGGAGGTGGGGGCGAGTGGGATGATAGACAGGCAGAAGAGTGAGCCTGGGACACAGTGCAGGCCACACTGGTCAGGGAAGGCCCAGTGAATCAGTGACCAGGGACCCAACTAGAGGAAGTTCTCGCTTGCTGACCTCTGTCGTTCCTGTGAAAATATGGTGCCATATTTCAGACCCCAATGCGTGCGACCCGCTTTCCTTGGTTAAAGAAGAACTAAGGAAGGAAGAAGACTTTTCTTTAAAAGTGGTAGCTGTTGTGCACAGCACACTAAATAAAACAGGAGCCGGGAAAGGCAGACGCAGAAGAACCCAGAACAGCCACTTGCAGTTCCTTTGAACGAGTGCAGGGAGCAGAGGGAGGAAGGACCGTTAGCTCAGGCTCGTCGCACCCTCAGCCTGGGCTGCCTGTCTTGTCCCCGTGGCACCCACAGCACCCACAGCACCCAGTGCAAGGCCCCGCCTAGAGCACGTGCTCAGTCACAGCTTGTCAGATGAATGAATAAAAATTCAAACACTTAAAAGACCTTTTCAGCTTCTTGGTCAAGGTTAAAAACAGCTGGCTCCGTGGGCGTGTGACTTGTGGCCTGTGAAACCACACAGGGCCCAGCTTGCCTCCATTTTTCGCTGTCACTGCTTTGAAATTCTCAATAATGTGAATTTCATTTTCATTTTGCCCTGGGCTCCACAAATTATGTAGCCTATACTGGTTAAAACAACAAAAACTCACATTCTATAAAATACCACTAAATGGATATTTTAGATGTAGATAATATCAAATTAGAGAATATGTGTTTCATGCTTACCTGAAGTTTTAGATTGTGGTTTTTCTTTATGAAAATATGCTTCATACTCTCTGTAGACAATTTTCTTAAAAGTTGTTGCAAAAGGATTCAAACTGGAAATAAAATACAAAAATTAATTTAAAATGTATGTCTGACATCTACTCACGTGCCAAAGGAAAAAAGGAAAGGATGAAATCTCTCATGTCCTAGGAGCAATAGTATTTTTAATTATATTTCAGAAACCCATGGTTTTATAAATATGAACAATAAATGACACTGATAACAATAATTGTTGGTCTCTTCAAGAATATTCTGCAGTGATCATCATTCTGTCACAAATTAAGCCTGACCTAACTCAGAACCAATTTTCTGAAGAAGAACCCAAGATGGTCATGTGAACCCAAACTTCAGGTTTAGAGTTTAAATGATTAAAAAATGATCACATCCTTTATGAATAAATATGTGGGCTATTTTCAGCTGGTCAGTCAAATACAGAGGTAAGCTACTGGGCAACGTTGTAAAGAACTGATTTGGTGGATCCTACTTCTAGTTGAGAAGTTGGCTATGGTAATTGAGTAAAAGCCCTGGATTCACGCTGGGAACAAACAAATGAGCAAACTAACTCTCAGAGAGTTTAAGTAACTTGTCCCTGGATAAGGGGTAGAGCCAAGATTCAGAAAAGGTGGACCCATTGTGTTCCTGGTAAAGAATTCACAGAGGGAGGGAGGAGATTCCTGGGACACTTCATTCCTATCCTCGTCTCAAACTCAAAGATAAAGGTAAAGGGAAGATAATTGGGGGACATTTCTTAAAATGTCTAAATGAGCTGACCAGGTTGGCTTTGTCAAGCTTCCTAACCTAGAGACAGTGGCCCAGCCATAGTCAGGGCATACGTGGGAGACCCTCCCCAGAGGCCGTGACCTCTGCGTGTTACAGTGGCTGGGCGGACAGGGGAGTCAGAGTGTCTGTGTTTAAACCATGTGGTTATTAACTGTGTAACCTTGAATAGCTTACTAAACCCATTTGTTCCTCTGTTGCTACAAATGTGAGATGGGAATAATAGTAAAATCTTCCTCTCAGAATTGTTATGAGTATTAAATAAGTTGCTACCAGCAAAGGACTTAGAGTTAGCTAGTAATAATTTAAAAGTTAATAAAAGTTGGTGCTCAGCCTTCAGGTTTTCCCAGCAAACAGAAAAATCTGTAATTGTAATAATCTTTGTAATTTTTTGTGAGATATAAGAACTGTGTTAATGTTTGGGGGCAGAATGAGTAAGTGCTTTTGGGATGACCAGCTATAGGAAGCAGTGGGTTCGCAGTGGAATAGGAACTGGACACTAGGAATATGGGTGCTCAGGGTGTGGGGGGAGCAGAAGGTGAGGACAGAGAAGTTGAAAATGAACTAAACAACCTCTAGAGTTCTTAGAACCCAAGGGCCCTGATTTTATCCCTAACGTGGAATTCCATTTTTATTTATTTGGTTGTTAGTAAAATTGAAAATTTTTTCCTCCTCCCCATCCCAGATCTCTAAATACAGGAATATAGATGATGGTGTAAAAGCTCTACTAGGAAAAATCAGTCTTTTATGTGGAGTAAGTTGAATAGACGTGTGTTTTCTAACATATTTGACTGTATATATATATATTGTGTGAGCATGTTGAGGCATATTTGTTTTGATTTTTGAAAAAGTTGAATGGCTCCTGGAAAATAATCTGTCAGAACAGAAAGTTAGAGATGATATGAATTCAAATAATATGCATGATGAATATATATGCATTCTTATTTTTATTGATTTCAGAGAGGAAGAAGAGGGAGAGAGAGAAACATCAATGATGAGAGAGAATCATTGATTGGCTGCCTCCTGCACACCCCACACTGGGGATCAAGCCTGCAACCCGGGCATGTGCCCTTGACCAGAATTGAACCTGAGCCCTTTCAGTCCGCAGGCCAACGATCTATCCACTGAGCCAAACCAGCTAGGGCTATATATGCATTTAAAAAATATCTGTTACTACATGCATGTAATGACTGAACAAGTTTTCTTAAGGAAATTTCTAGAAACAGTCACTTCAGGCCTGCAGCAAGAATAATAGATATATTTAACCTCTAAAGGCATTGCTCTGCTAATTTTAGATGAACTAAAGGGAAAGATCTTTGCTTTGTGCTAAAATGGACTTTGGCAAGGGGTGGGATTGATTGCCAAATGTCCATTTCCATATAGTATCAGTTAGTTCTCAGTGTAGGACAATTTAGAGCAAGTTCTTAATGTAAGCAGCCAGTCATACAGATTTTCCACCGGAAAGTACTAGAGGGAAATGACATGATTTGAGGTTCAATATGGAGCGTTGGTCTGGTTTATCCTTCTATGGTTTTGATTCAATAGTTGATACCAGAAGAAAGACTCTTCCCAGAATCCTGGGAACTCAGCCGCGGAGCAAGAGGATGGATGGCATGACCAACTGTGGCTCCCTGTGGACTCAACACGTGAATCCGACTTTTGACCTCTGTGGTCCTGCCCCCAGCTTTCAGCATTAACTATGGAAGAAAGACCACGTTTCCAAGCGTAGCACAGCGGCCACAGGAAAGCCAGCAACCAAGTCAGTATTCTCAAGAGCAGGAAAGATCAGTGTTGGAAAAACTTATCTTCCTGGGGGTTTTAGTTAATGGCAGCTCCGTACAGTGTGCGTGAGACTCTGATTATCACCATGAAATGAAATATTTAAGATGATTTGTATTTTTTTTAAAAAAAGAGGGATTTCTTATTACAAGACCAAGAGAGTATGTAATACCCTCCAAAATAAACCTTACTAAGGAAATTTTAAAAGGGCTAAGGTTATACACGAAAAGACTGAAAATATTACAATATCTCTTGGTAGATCGCTTTGTAATTGTAAAAGGGGAACACGTCTTTCGCAATCATTCAAAGTCTGATGTTAAGTTTTTTTTAAAAAATGAGCCACACTAAGAGATTTACCATTAAAACAAGTAAAAATCTAACCAACTGGAAATATTGAGCAAATCCTGTAATTTGTCTCGTTTCTGGGAAGTTTTATTTTTAGCCTTTCAATTGGGAAAAGTGGTTTCCGACTCAAAGATAGAGTTTTATTATTTAAACCTCCTCTTAGCTGCATCTCTGCCTTTTCATAGGGACCCCACTCAAACTGCCAAGATTAAGTGAGGAAAAAAGAATAAAAATGTTGCATTTTTAGGGACTAATGATGCTTTGGAAGTTATTTATAAGAAAACAACAAAATGATGGCAGTCGTTATTGAATAATCTGCATATAATAAAGCACAAGGTTTAGTTTTAGAAGATGAAGCGATGTAGAGAATGGAATAAATGCAACTAGAAGCTCCATAACAATGCTAGACCACTAAAATTCTAGAACAGGAGTTTGCAGAGGGCTAGCGAGGGGGTGGGTGCCTGGTGCTTTTGAACCAATCAATACATTAAATCAACAATCCAGCATACTAACTAAACTGTGTTATCAGCAAACTTGAAAGAAGCTTCTAGCCAATCAAACTGCATCTTTTCAATATCCTCAGACTCCGAGCAGGATCAGCAAAGGGAACTCTGCCTAAGAGGAGTCGAGTGAGCTCTCACAGAAGCCCACGAACGCCACCCCTGCCTTACCTGGGGTTTGTGGGCTCCGGGTGGTAGTTCCAGCTGATGCCCTGCGCAGCCACATAGAACTGCCTCAGCCGCGCGGCCTCGGCCCCCGGGACCCCCAAGCCTGCCCAGCTGGAGCCCAGGACCAGCAGGACCCAGAGGCGCGGGCAGCCTGGGGACATGGTTCTTTCCTGCTCCTGCCCTCGGCGCCCCCAGCCAAGCTCTGGCTGCACCGCTGGGCGTCCGCTGTCCCTGCTGCAGTGAGCTCGGAGGCTGTGGGTGGCCCCCCAGCCTGCCCAGCTGGAGCCCAGGACCAGCAGGACCCACAGGCGCGGGCAGCCTGGGGACATGGTTCTTTCTTGCTCCTGCCCTCGGCGCCCCCAGCCAAGCTCTGCTGCACCGCTGGGCGTCTGCTGTCCCTGCTGCAGTGAGCTCGGGAGGCTGTGGGTGGCAGTGTCCTCCCTGCAACCTCTGCAGGCGCCTCAGCCGCAGCCTCGGGCTGTCCCGCCTCCTGGGCTCTTCCAGGAAGAGGGGTTGGCGAGGTCACTGCCCTGGGAGACAAGAGGAGGGCGCCCAGGTTCGTGACTGTTTCACTACAGGTGAAGAGAGCGCAGAGCTCAGAGGCTCCAGCAGGTGGGGCAGTGCCGGGGTGCATAAGCCACAGGCAAAACTGATTCCTGCACTTCCAGCCTCTAAGCCAGGCAGCCAGAGCCCTCAGCACCCACCACAGTGGTTCTCAACCTTCCTAGTGCCGCGACCCTTTAATACAGTTCCTCATGGTGTGGTGACCCCCAACCATAACATTATTTTCGTTGCTACTTCATAACTGTAAGTTTGCTACTGTTATGAATCGTAATGTAAATATCTGATATGCAGGATGTATTTTCATTGTTACAAATTGAACATAATTAAAGCATAGTGATTAATCACAAAAACAATATGTAATTATATATGTGTTTTCCGATGGTCTTAGGCGACCCCTGTGAAAGGGTCGTTCAACCCCCAAAGGGGTCACGCGACTCACAGGTTGAGAACCACTGACCCACCACAAAACTGCCCTGGGCGAAAATCACTCTCGCCAGACCCTCTGCGGTTCCCGGTGCAATGGGACCAACACCTTTAACACAGCACTGTCCTGCCCTCAGGAAAGGGCGTGTGCACTGTGCCTGGGCACAGGGATGTGTCTTCAGCGGGTGAGGAAGCAAGGGGATGAGCACAAGACCGGGTCCATCGGCCTGGACCACTGACCGGACTTCTGCCCACGCACAGATCTGTGTTAACCCGGGCTGTGGCCACTGAAGGCAACAACAGAGAGGAGGGCCTCATGAGTGTGGCTGGGAGAAACAGTGGGCCAGGTTTCAGTCCCACTCACAAGCTGTGTTGTCTTGGCTGAGTTACTCACCCTCTTTGCAGCTCAGATTTGCCATCTGCCCAATAGGGGAGATGATAACAGTTCCCTGATAGTGTCGTTGGGGGGATAAAAGAACACTGTAATGTGTGTAACTCCTGGCAGTGGGAAGGCACTGAGCACGTGTTCATTATCAGGGCTGTGTTTTTCCTGCCTCCAGAGTCCCTTATGTTTCTGCCACCTGTCTATTTTCACTCTGCCTGAAGGTCTTGTTTTGCTATTGATAGAGAATCAGAGAATTATATTGTCTGAAGCATCATGATGGCTTGTCCCACGTTCCCTGAACCTATGTGCCTCCTAAGCCCCTGTTTTAGGATTCGTCTCGGCAGATTCAATGAACTGTCATGGGCACCTTGTGTGAGGTCGAGATGAAGCCAAGCTCCTCAACGCTTCACCCCCTACACACGGCCCTCTGCCTTTGCCCCTTGGCTGCTATTATTCTATAACGTAGAATGCCCGCTCCCTCCACTCTCTAAAGTCCCATCAGAGTTCTGCTGTCACCTTGATTCTGGGCTCGAATGGGCCTTTCCATTCTGTGAACTCCTCCAACACTCTTCACATACACGTCATGTTGGTTGCCTTCTAGTACTTCGGGTGGGTGTCTGCTGTCTCCCCAACTAGGCCAGAAGCTCTTCATGGGCAGGACACCCTGGTATCTATATTATCAGCCGGGAACCCATCCAGATTCCCCGGGGAGCTTTCAGAAAGTGTAGGCTCTGACTCCAGAGACAGGGCTGATCGGCATGGTCCTGTGAGACCTCGCCTAGTGATTGGCAGTCAGAGATATGAATGACAGCATATCTGGGAACCTTTAAAAGATCTGTGTCCCTCAACCCCAAGGTTCCTATCAAAATTCTTGCAAAAGTCTTGTGACCTTCGGTTATACTGTTTCACCATTTTTATTGGCATGTTTGTCTGTGTCATTCAGTCCGCATGGCATGCTCATTGCCTCACAGTCACAGAGGCGAGACAGCTATGTTTGATTAGTTCCAGATAACACTGTGTAACTTTCAACAGCCTGTTTATCAAACCTGTGATTTCTATATATACTGATTTCGGAGAAAGGGAGAGAGAGGGAGAGAGAGAGATAGAAACATCAATGATGAGAGAATCATTGATCAGCTGCTTCCTGCACATCCCCTACTGGGGATCAAGCCCACAACCCAGGTATGTGCCCTTGACAGGAATCAAACCTGGGACCCTTCAGTCCGCAGGCTGACACTCTATCCACTGAACCAAACTGGCTAGGACAATCAAACACTTAAAGAATGTGTAAAACACACCCATTCTACCCGAGGACACTCAGGGGATGAAGACTCTTTGTGCTTCTCTGGTTTCCTCCCTGTGGGAAGGTGGTGCGACATAATGGCCAGCTGATGGAAGGGTCCAGCCGTGAAGTTGTTCATTATATTAATGTAAACAAAGTGATGGACACAGACCCTATTGAACAAAACATCAGATACTATAACGTGGCATTTGGGGGGAATCCTTTTAATGACACCTTTGAATATGGATCTTTGGGGGAAAGTGACCTTGGAGGGACCATCACAGTGACATGTCCGTCCTGTCCTGGTTCTCGGTTGGTCGTCTGCAGCCTCTGGTGCCCCTGGAGGCCGCTCTGGATGCCTCTGCAGCAGAGGTCTAGGCGGGTCATAAACACACCCTGGGGACCCAGAGGCCTTACAGAAACCCCTCCAGGCAGAGGCACTGGCTCCTTCCAGAAAGTCCAGGAGGCCTCCCTCCAGTCCAGAACTAAGGAGCCATTCTTCTTTCTCCGCAGACTGGTCTTCTGGTGGCTCAGAGGCTCCGAGCTTTGGCTCATTAGTATTCTAGTGACAGCTGGCAGCAGCACTCGGCCAGGAGAGGGGGCAGGAAGGCGGTGCGTGGAGAGTCCGTTTCTTCTGCTCTGGTCCAGAGTGGACCTAAAGGAAACGCCTTGTCCTTTCCTCACAAGCATTTACAGAAAACTGCAGCAGGCGCTCCAGTCCGTCAAGTCTCGCAGGAAGCCCGATGTTCAACAATAGCGTCCTCTGAGGAGGAGTGAGGTGGCCAGGAGAGGACAGGTCTCTGAAAATGACCCAAAAGATACTAATTACATTCCCTTTTAAAAAATAAAAGAAAGAAAGCCCTCTTCACATCTGTCCCCAAGGCCCAATAGAATCTTTCTGGAGGCCAGATTTTCTGCCATCGAGGCTACTTTTCTTAGAATCAACTGCTCACTGGGCTGCTTGGGAGAGGCGTGTCAGGCTATTTTCCTTTTCCAGCCACGAGGGCATTGTCTCCGTAAGAGTTTGTAAAATTTTTCCAGTGGTCAAGACTTCTGGTTCTCAAGCCACAGTGTTAATGTCACTTACGAGTCATTGAAGGGAAGGCCATCCATCCTGAAATAAGTGTCACTAGACCGTGTCACCGTGTGTGTGTGTGTGTGTGTGTGTGTGTGTGTGAAAATCCTCATATGAATGCTCTTTCTATTGTCATTCTACTGTCATGCCTGTCCCCTATGCCAACACAGTTTCCTTCATGGCTTGAAAATTTACTACATACTTAAAATTTAACTCATGATTGTATAAAGCCAAACTTTATTTTTTTTATTTATTTTTTTAAAATATATTTTTATTGATTTTTTACAGAGAGAAAGGGAGAGAGATAGAGAGTCAGAAACATCGATGAGAGAGAAACATCGACCAGCTGCCTCCTGCACACCTCCCACTGGGGATGTGCCCGCAACCAAGGTATATGCCCTTGACTGGAATCGAACCTGGGACCTTTCAGTCCGCAGGCCGACGCTCTATCCACTGAGCCAAACCGGTCTTGGCTAAAGCCAAACTTTAAAATCTTCCCCTTCACCTTACTGTTCTATTTCCTTTATGCCTGGCCAGTGTGGCCCAGTGGTTGAGCATCAACCTACAAACCAGGAGGTCACTGTTCGATTCCTAGTCAGGGCACATGCCCGGGTTGGGGGTTTGATCCCCAATAGGGGTCGTGCAGGAGGCAGCCAATGATTCTCTCATCATTGTTTCTCCCTCCCCCTTTCTTTCTCTGAAATCAATAAAAAATATATATTTAAAACAAATTAAATAAGTCTTCATTGGTAACTTACCTTAAGGGCTCGGGTCAAATGCAGCATTTGTGAAAACTCCGTATGTCCCCAGGTGGCTAAAGAACAGAAACACAAAGATGACCTGCCACATGGTGCTTAGCCCGTGACCACAGTCCAGGACATAGTTTCTCCAGACTGAGGGTTACCGCCCACCCCTGGGATTCTGCTTTAAAAGGGAAAGAAGAAACACCAACGGGGTTATCTAGATGCCTCTTAACAGCTCCTTTCATACCCAGGTGCAGCCATTGTTGATGCCTTGGGTGCTGAATGCCTGCTACGCCCCCTATAGGGCTGCAGATTGTTCTTGGTGAGAGGAAGTCCTTACAAAATCCCTACCTTGGTACTTGACCATCAGATCCCTGCAGGAGTGTTTGAGGTGTGGTAGTACTGCCCCCTACAGGCGCTTTTTAATTTTCATAACGATCAAGAGTTCTACTGACATTGGCGGCAGGGACAGGGATGCTGGACGCCCTAATATGCACGGACACAAAACAACTGTCCTACACTCCGTACAACTTTACAGTATCTTCTCTACACAATATTCATGAAGGTGGAAAAGTCTCAGAGCCCAGAACTTCACCGCTTCACATATAAATAAGGTGTTTTGCATGTGTTGCTTTTTTACATCTTCTAAAATGCAACTGCCTTGTGAGTTGAAGGAAGATTTTAACAGGTTTTCCAGACGTTCTGCCAATCGTGCATCACTTATCCATCAGGTTGGCAACGCCTCTGGGCTTTTTGAGTCACTGTTACCATCTTCCCGTCAGTTGTCCTCTGTGGCTGTTGCCTTCCTAGTGATTCTACCCGAAGGTGCCTCTGATGACCTCATGGGATCCACCAGTGCAGTGCCCCAGCTTTAGCCTTTTATTTCTACAGTAACTCACCTTTCCTCCTATTTTTATTTATTCTATAATTAGGGCACTTACTGACTTTTAAAACGTGTGTAGTTAGGATATATTATCTGTGCATTTTGTTTTGTTGCAAGAAAGGGGTGTTATGTATAATCATTCTGACATGTTATGGCGAATTAAAAAGTCAGACTAGAAAAATGAACTCAGTCATAAAACAGTTCCATCTTACCTGTGAGGGTTCAGAGGGTCTTTCCCGTCATCTGAAATAAGCAAGAAGACACCCGTGATTGGTTAAAGAGGAAACAAGGTGAGGAGAAAGGTCACCCGTGATGGGAGTTACTGGGGGAGTCGGTAGGTAGACTGCTTTTCAGGTGACTCGTTAAAGGGACAAGCTTCCCTGAGAGGCAGGGCCTACCTGTTCTAGGTAAAATTGAACACCTGAAATGTAACTCCAGAGTCCTCTCACCTCTCACCTTTCCCCTCTGACCTTTCAGTAGCAGCCTCCCCTCCTGGGTCTGGTGCCTGCCCCTTGGTTGGTTGTGGTTGTGGTTGAGACCATTGGTTTTCAAGACCCATTTCTTTGGCACTCGAGGCCCCTGCCACTCATCCCATGTCACAATCCCTCAGCCTACACTTGGGCAAGTTAATGGCATAAAGAAACCCATCCCAACATAACAGTGGCTGTCTCCCTCCATGGTAACGTCAGCGATCAAAGGCCTTCTGTCCTAACCTAAACCAGGAACCGTGATAGTGGGAACTTAACACACGGCAGCCGTCCTATCAATGGAAGTATCTCGTGGATAACAAAGCTTTAAAGTATCAGGTCAAGTGAAGAACAAGTATATTTATTACACGGCATCACTGAGCCTTTAATGTGATAACGAATTTGCAGGGGAGGGACAGAGTAGGCAACACTGTCCTGAAATCGACCACAGAATCCTAGGAAGTTTAACATCCAGTCGGTCACATCAAGGGAAAGTCCCCCATCCTCACACATACATGTGCTTATTATTAAAGACACAGGAGGATAAACCTGCTGGTCCTGCTCCCTGGTCCAGAGGGTTTCCTAGAAATGTCTCTAAACTAAGGAGGAACTTGGGGGAAATGCAGGAAGAGTGTGGTTCCAACGTAGCATGGAGCGTACTTCTGGGTCTCAGGAGCTCTTGCGTCTGCCTTCTGAGTTGGGTTAAGCAAGCACTGATGCTGCATGGAGAGACTGGGGGGGAGGGCGCGGGAGGGGGGAAACCTTTGGTTTTTAAACAGTGTTACTCCTTGTCTGTCCCAGAGGAGAGCACTACACAGCCAGCCTCGGGGCCATGGTGGTTTTGTGACAGAGGGGGCGTAGAGCAGGGACCAAGTGGTCCTGCCCTGAGCAGATAAGATTAGGAGCCGGGACTCCCTAATCCCAGGAGGACTCCCTAACTCCAGGGGACTCCCTAATTCCAGGGGGACTCCCTAACTCCAGGGGGACTCCCTAACTCCAGGAGGACTCCCTAATTCCAGGGGGACTCCCTAATTCCAGGGGGACTCCCTAACTCCAGGGGGACTCCCTAATTCCAGGAGGAGTCCCTAACTCCAGGGGGACTCCCTAACTCCAGGGGGACTCCAGCAGGTGCTTTTGACAGAGACACTTCCTCACCTGGCTCTGCACAGTCCCGGCCCCTCTGATGCCCCTGGTCACTCCTGGTCACTTTCCATGAGGAGGGTGAGGAGCCCCATAAGCTTATCCAGAGAGGTTTCTGACCTTAGGGACAGCTAAGCATTTGGGCCAGGCAGAGGAAGGATGTTCTGACCCTGAAGAAATGGTCCCTCCTCTTATCCCCAGGCCAGAGCTCTTTTTGGTGGGCAGCCTGATAAACACGTTTCCCTTACAGAGTCTCCATCCGCTCTGGTCCCTTCCCGGCTTAAACCCGGCATTAGCTCCACACATGTCCATGCGAACATCCATCTTTTCAGACCGAGGCATGAGCAGGGCGGCTCTTCCTGCCTCCAGCTTCCTTTCTCGCTTCTTCCATGGGCCTCTTGGGGCCAGACGCCCTAGCACCTCCCCAACTGCCTCACCTCTAGGTCCTCCCAGATCTTTCCTCCTGGAACTGCTTCTGCTTTTCCCCCACAAATCCCTCCTATTCGTCATCGTTAAGCTGCAAAGAGCCGTTCTGAGCTACCCAGCTGGTTGGGACACCTCCGTTTTGTGTCCCTGTAGCACTCGGGCTGTAACTGTGTCCAACCCAGTTCTGCCCTTCGGTGTTAGCACGGATCTCATTTGCCTATTTCCACTCCTGGATTACACGTCCCTCCATCCCAGGGACCAGGAGTCAGGGTCCCACCACCTAACACAGTTGGTCAATAGATGACGGGGGCATGAAAGACTAGCGGAGGGGATGAAGGAGAGAAGCGAGACACGATTTCATTTCGTTTTGGTGATAACGGAGGGTGGGTGTTGAAAAGTTCAGAATTCCAAGCCCATGTCCAGTCTCCTTACCTGAGGATCTGTGCTTTTAGAATGTTGTTTATAAAGAGGACTGAGGGCAGTCAGTTCTCAAGGTCATGTTTTCTTCTAATGCAGATGTTCTCCCACAGGTGCTGCTGCAGCTGTGGTCCCCAGCCCTCCCCAAACCTCAGGAAAGCGGAAGCGAAGGACAGCCCCCGCCTCCACCCCAGTTACCTTTCCGTCGGCAACGCCTCCGGAGCAGAGCGAGGAGTGTGCCGCCCATCACCAAGCCTGTTGTGGAGGCCACTGCTCCACCCACATATGTCAGGGCTTCCTGGACGGTCAGCGGCTCCCCTGCAAGCAAGCGCACACACACAGACTTAGGGTGCATTGTGTCAAAGACCATGCTCCTGGTGGCGCCCAGGAACCTCCCAGGAGGATCACCAGAGGCCTTGGCAGCACTGGCAACCTGGGAGTCGTAAAAGCACATTTTACCCCAAGGCTTTAGTATCAAACGCAATTTCCAAAGGAGGCAGGGCAAGGATGGACGAAAAGGAATTAAATGGCCACATGGTAGACCCAAGCAATGGAAGTCTGGGCAAATAAAATACGCCAGGGTAATTTTTGTTGCAATAAAAAATATAGTTACAGAAAGAAAAAGACATGACAAGCTGTGGAGGGAAAAAAAGAAGAAGAAAGAAAGATGGTGGATGTAATGACCCTTAACAGCAGGCGGGGCTTCGTTAAGGAAGTCAGTGGAGTCTTTAGTTTTTAGAGGCGTGTGATAATCAAAGGTCCTCTGAGACACGTGAGGAAGCTGCATATAATCATCCTCCGTCTAAAACATTTTGAAGCTTCAAGATGTATTACCTCCCCCAGATTACAAAGCAACGAGAGGAGTCGTTTCATAAATCTGAGCTCTGCAGGAGGGCCTTCTGCCCACACAGAGCGCTGCTCCTGACCCCCTCTGCTCTGCGAAGGCAAGAAGGCTCGGCTTGATTCATTGTGAAACGCTTGCCAAATGCAGGGAAAACCCCATGACGGAAAGCGAGACCACTGCCAGCCATACAGAGAAGAGCCTGGATTCGGTTATTTTCCACGTCCGCGTGGCTCCTGAAACTAGAGGAAGACGTACCTTGGCAGGTGGGCGTGGCCGCTGACCACTGGCCGTCGGGTCCGCATGCTGCTGCCGCCGAGCCATTGAGCGACTGGCCCTCTGGACAGTGGAAGGTGCAGGTGGTGCCATAGCTGAAATGGCCCCAAGGGCTGGAGCAGTTCATCAGCACCGGCTCCTCGGTGTGCAGCTCGGAGCACTGCACAGCTGCCGGAAGGAACGGGGACAACAGTCATGGAGCAGGAAGGGGAGAGAGACCCTGGCTTGATGTAACCTGGGTGACATTGCCAGAGGTGAGAGCGAATAGGGAAGGTCAGGGAGGAGACGAGCCCCTCCCAGCATCCGCATCAGCTCTTCCAACATCTCACAGACCGAGACACCCGCTGGGAGGGTGCCAGTCAGTGAATTAGGGGGCATAGAGTGGCATCCAAGAAACTCCTGCTGAGGGATCGGGCAGCCTTGCCTACAGAGCACTATTTATAAAATCTCGTTTCTCAAAGATGCTATTGTCCTAAACGTTATCATCACTGCTGCTGACAATTAGCTCACATGTCAGTACGTGCTGTTAGATGTCAAATAGGATGAAAATATTTCACAAGGATTCAGCATGGCTGGACTCAGGTGTGAAAGAAGTAGAGACTGCCACCCTCTTTAAACTAGCTTTCCAGAAACTTCAAGTCATTCACCTTAATTTGTGGACAGGAAGCTAGCGCTCAAGAAATTAAATTTAATCCAGATAAACACCGAGACGTAGCGACGCCGCAGAGCGCTGTGCTGTGCTTTGTGCGGAAGACAAAGCGGGAGAGACAACGTTTCATGCGCAGCGGCCGCCCTGCCGGGGGTCACGCATGACTGTCTTCTGATTTAGGTGCAAATCGTGGGAATATGGACCGTCTAGCTGTCCCCTCGTCACTAGACCTGAAGCTTGTGTTGCAGCACTCACGGAGCTGGTTACGCTCGGCATGCTTGCTGCTCTAACACGTTTTTGGACGCTGACGAACATTTCCCCATGAGGTGTCTGAGCACCAGGGCTTTAGGGGGGGGGGGGGGGGGAAGCGCTTGCCACATGCGACTGCCACTTGGGATTGGTGTGACTTCGTGGAGGAGCGGGCATTCCAAGTGGCTGTGAGGAGAAAGGACGGGGGTGGGGTGGGGGGGGAGGGAAGCGCTTGCCGCATGCGACTGCCACTGGGGATTGGTGTGACTTCGTGGAGGAGCGGGCATTCTAAGTGGCCGCTGGGGCTGGACAGGGTTTCGGCAGGCGGGTGCCCCAACTGGCTCGGGGCCTGAGGAATCGGCGTCCGAGCAGCCGGCCCTCACTCACCTCTGCAAGCCGGGGTGGTAGAAATACTCTGAAGGAATTTTAAATGGCATTGTTCTAAAATTCCATTTACTGGCATAGAGACCATTTTATCTTGTACTTGGGAAAAAATACTCCAAATCTTATTAGCCAATCTCAATTTACTGAAGTAAAATGAGATTAAAGGAACTAGCTATTTCTTTTTAACACAGATTACAATAGACTTGCTGCTTTTTCTTTCTGAAAAATGTCAGACAAGCTCAGAAACATGTGTATGTACTAATTTGACTACTTTTAGTCTCTTCATCTTTACCTCACAGGAAAATAGATGACTGAAAAAATAGTGTGGAAAGAGACTGGCCCCCAAATAGTATTTAATTGCAGCTCTATTATTTGCAGTTTACAGTGTTGGTTTGCTCTTTTCTTAGTATGCTATTAAATACAGACTATACTAAATTGGATTCATAGAATACTTTAAGGCCAATTTTTTCTAAATAAAAACCATTCAAGATGAAATTTATATTAAAAACTAAGATGTATAAAATAAGAAATGCCTTTCAATATTTTTTTTAAAGAGAGATGAAATAGAAAGCTCAACCTAAAATAAACCTATGACAGTATTAAATCAAGATTTGCTTTTCAGTAAACCAGCCACATTGATAATTAAAATACTGTCTCCTGGAAGCAACAGGGGCTGTCAGCAAGGAGACCAGGGAAACAAAGCTTCCGCCACAGGGACTGGGGTTTAGGAACAGCTTCAGCCACCGTGGGTGCCAGTGCCCAGCGGAGAGCTGAGACACCCGGCTGCGCTGGCTGCTTGACTACATATCAGAGGCAGTGCAGTAGACCAGCCTGTTGTAGAGATGGTAGAAGTGGGGAAAAATGTTAAATGGTGGCCCCAAAATAAATGTTATTAAAGTATTTAACTTTTAATTATACAAATAGCACAATCATACATTCTCCTTATTTAAAAAAAATAAACATAACCAATAAAGCCAAAATTTACTCCAACCCTCTGGATCAGTGGTTCTCAACCTTCCTAATGCTGCGACCCTTTAATACAGTTCCTCATGTTGTGGTGACCCCCAACCATAAAATTATTTTCGTTGCTACTTCATAACTGTAATTTTGCTACTGTTATGAATCGTAATGTAAATATCTGATATGCAGGATGTATTTTCATTGTTACAAATTGAACATAATTAAAGCATAGTGATTAATCACAAAAACAATATGTAATTATGTATGTGTTTTCCGATGGTCTTAGGCGACCCCTGTGAAAGGGTCGTTCGATCCCCAAAGGGGTTGCGACCCACAGGTTGACAACTGCTGTTCTAGAAGAAACTGGGAGGTCAGTGTCACTGATGTTAACTGAGCAAACCTGGGGTGGGGCGGGGCTGGGAGGAGAGGGTAGGGGAAAATGGGGAATTGTCAACAATAATAAAAAGAATTTAAAGCAGGAGAGTTGGTGTGGGGATGTAGGGGATTTAGTAGGAAGCCACATGTGCATGGCTTCGTCGGGAGGTGGATGGTCCTCGGCCTGAGGTCAGCATGGAGTGTGAGGCGTGAAGGATACCGCCGGCTTCGTTGCTAACATGGCACGCAGCAGAAAACGGGCCTCTGCGCTTCAGTTCCTCCACCCCTACTCTCTCCTGGCAAAGAGAGTCCCACCCACCTACCCAATAAAGCTCTTAGAGAAAGAGGCCAAAATCACGGAGGACAATTTCTGCTTACGAATCAGTATATCTTTTATCAAAATATTAAAAAGGTCCTGTCGCTCCTTATACACTTAGAAAGCCAGTCTGTGTTCCCTGGGCCCCATTTCATAACAAGAAGTAGGGCTTTAATAATAATAATAATAATAAATAATAATAAATAATTATG